CACCTGGACCCAGTCCCCCTCTGTCAGCGCGCACACCGCGTGCAGCGCGCCCTCCAGCGCGCCCCTCATCGCGTCGGGGTCCGCCCCGACCTCTTCATGAAACGCCCTCAGCTCGGGCTGCAGCCGCACGTAGCTGCCCTTCTCCAGCCGCCGGTACGCCACGCGCACGCGCCCCGCGCACCTGCCGCTTTCGCCCGCCCCGCCGCTTTCGCTCCCGCCGCCACCGGGGACGCCCGCTTTCGCGTCGGCGTCGGCGGCGGCGGGGTCGGCGTCTGCGGCGTGTGGGTGGCTGCCGGGCAGCTGCTGCAGGCCCCAGAGGCTGTCCTGCACCTTGTCGGGTAACAGTACTACACCCTCAGGCACTTCTGGGCTGAATTCCAGGACGCCGGCGTGGGTGCGGGCGCCGTTTGGGGCGGTGACCTCGAAAAACATCGCCTTTGGGGGGCCGTGGTGTGTGGTGTGTGTGTGTGTGTGTGGTGTGTTGTGTGTGTGTGTGTGTGTAGGTGTGTGTGTGTGTGTGTGTAGGGGTGTGTGTGCGCGTGTGTGTGTAGGGGGTGTGCATCGAGGGGAGGGTGGGGAGGGGCGGCAGGGAGGTGGTGGCGTTCGTGGCGATGGGTGGATCTGGGTTGAGGCGATAAGGGGATGAGGTAGGAGGGGAGGGGTGGGTGCCCCCCCGGGCTGCTGCACCGCCGCGCGGCCTCCACGCCACGCCCCACGCCCGGGGTGAGCCTGGCAGCCGCGTGTCCTGGCGCCGCCCGCCTGCGCGCCCGCCGCCCTGCCGGCCCCCGGGGCAGTCGTCCAGGCGTCGCGCGGCGCGCGCCCCCAGGGCCCCCCGCAGCCCCCTGAACCAGCCCCCAGGCGGCCCACCCCGTTTTTGTACGCCTCCTGCGCCATCAGCACCGCCCCCGCGCTGCTGGGCAGCACAATCTTGTCGGCCGCGCGCCGTATGCCGCGCGCGGCGGCGGCGGCCGCGCTCGTGGGCGCGGCCTGCAGCTGCGCGTGGAAGAAGACGCCGCGGTTCGCCTCTGTCTCCGCGGCGCGGCGCTCGGCCTCCTGCGGGGCCGCCGGGGCGAAGTGGAGGAGGTGGAATGACCGGGGTCGGAGGTGCGTGCGCGCCGGTCGCCGTATGCCTCGCAGAAACAGGGTGCACCAAGGAAAAGGAAGCGCGAAAGAGGACGTGCATGTGCGCGGCAGAGGGCGCCGTCGCGCACGCGCACGCGTTCGCGCTGGCTTGCAGGCGGGC